TCGATCAACTATTGGAGCGAACGGCACCGAAATCCTCCTGTGTATTCTGCACAGTTGAGGATAACAAAGACAATCACTTCACCGCCAGGTGCAGCAAATTTCCTGACTCCGTCTCCAGGACGGCTCAGGCATCGAAGCTGCACTTGTGCGTGAAGTGCCTGAAACCAGAGCATGATCTCGACTGTGGGATGAAATGTGGGAATTGTGGTCTTGACCACAATTCCTACCTCTGCTCCCGCAGAAGGCCTCATGCTCAGCAGCTCAAAAGGCCTCGAAACTGAGGCTTCTCCATTCCCGTCGTCTCCCTTCACCACTCCGCTATCTCACCGTCGCCCTCGTCCACACTACCTGCTAATTGGATTTACTCTGTTATTCATCTGCAACGTCAAGTTCCGATCACTCGCCGTCGTCGCACCTGCAACCGACCATCGCCCAGTTCGCTCGAAGCCAGCGCTCAAGGAACGAAAATCGACTACAGTGATCTCATTGTGATGCATTATTTCGACGCTAACTTGTTCGATGCAAATTTGTATGTTTTGTATCCCTTTTGGGGCCGGGGAGTGTCATCGTCCATAGTCCCGATGACCCCGACGCTCCCCGCGCCCCGCCCCATGTCTTCCTAAGAGCATGGGCCCATGCTCTGGGGCTTTTTGCTGGTAACACCGACAATAAACAGTTATTTCTACACTCGTCTCCCGCCTCAACAACAAAACCACTGAACCGCCCTACACATTAATAGACCACACGGTCAGGGGTTCTCGTGTCCCCCTCTGCCGTGGTATGCGAAGCAGCAACCTCGCGACCGATAGGGGTTTATTATGTGGTCACCACACTCGGTTACTGTAAGAACAATAATAATAATATATTAAGAGTGCCGGCCTTATATTATATATTAATATAAGGCTTCGGCCTTATATTATTAATATATGCTCTAAAAGGGGCGGGGCGGCTGGGCTGCTGGGATTGGTTCATTGTGGATCTGCCTTGTGACGTCATCGATGGTCGGCGCCTTCATTTATCGATCGGCAGCGGCGTCCTTCAATTCTGGGTAATGGAATCCGAGAACAAGAAAACTACAACATTACAGTTCAATACAAACAACACATTTAGACAATACAACAACTACAAACAACAATTATAATAACAACAGTTATATACATTACAAGACCATTTCTGCTTTGAAAGTTTTTGATTATTGACGCCCAATTGGAACACTCTGTCGCGAACGCGACCATGAATATGTCAGGTTTGAAGAACTTTTCCTAATATTAAATCCAAGTGTCTCTGTTTTAGTTGTCTATATTGGTAGTTCAGATAGATCAAGTAACTCGACGTCTTCCCGCGCAAATCGATCGCCTTGGGTATATAAAGTGCAATCCACGCCGGCAGGACTTCAGATTGATCCGACATATCTTCCTTTATTGGTGTCTCTGTTCTTATTTCTTATGTTCAAGTATGACTCAAGTTTTTATTGTGTATAATTTATCAAATT